ACCTGCTGATCAATAACCTGCTGATCATTAACCTGATGATCAATAACCTACTGATCAATAACCTGATGATTAATAACCTGATGATTAAAGACGTGATGATCAATAACATGATGATCATTAACCTGATGATTAATATGATGATCAATAACCTGATGATTAATAACCTGATGATCAATAACCTGATGATCAATAACCTGATGATTAATAACCTGATGATCAATAACCTGATGATCAATAACCTGATGATTAATAACCTGATGATTAATAACCTGATGATCAATAACCTGATGATTAATAACCTGATGATTAATATGATGATCAATAACATGATGATCAATAACCTGATGATCAATAACCTGATGATCAATAACCTGATGATTAATAACCTGCTGATCAATAACCTGCTGATCATTAACCTGATGATCAATAACCTGATGATCAATAACCTGATGATTAATAACATGATTAACATGATTAATAACATGATTAATAACATGATGATCATTAACCTGATGATCAATAACGTGATGATCAATAACATAATGATCAATAACCTGATGATTAATAACCTGATGATCAATAACCTGATGATTAATAACCTGCTGATCAATAACCTGCTGATCATTAACCTGATGATCAATAACCTGATGATCAATAACCTGATGATTAATAACATGATTAACATGATTAATAACATGATCAATAACATGATGATCATTAACATGATGATCATTAACCTGATGATCAATAACATAATGATCAATAACCTGATGATTAATAACCTGATGATTAATAACATGATTAATAACATGATCAATAACATGATGATCATTAACATGATGATCATTAACCTGATGATCAATAACATGATTAATAACCTGATGATCAACAACCTGATGATCAATAGCCTGTACCTGCTGTGTTTGAACATGTTTATTAAGTTAATGTCATCATACAACAGGTGAGTTTACACTGAATTCTTATTGGTCAGCAGCAGATCAATCAACCAGCTGACATCACGATGACGTCACAATAGAGTCACACCTGTGAAGGTTTCCATGGCAACTATCGGAAACTAAGAGGAGAGACGATGATGAGTTTTAAATATAGACCCAGTTCAGACCTGAGACCTGAACCTCAATGCAGGTTAACAGTCCCCTGCAGTCCACCAGGGTCCATTAGAGCCCGCTGTAGTCCATCAGGGTCCATTAGAGCCCGCTATAGTCCACCAGGATCCATGAGAGTCCAACAGGGTCTATTAGAGTCTGCTATAGTCCATCAGGGTTCATTAGAGTCCACCAGGGTCCATTAGAGCCCGCTATAGTCCATCAGGGTCCATTAGAGTACACCACAGTCCACCAGGGTCCAATAGAGTCCACCACAGTCCACCGGGTTCCATTAAGAGCCTGCTGTAGTCCACCAGGGTCCATTAGAGCCCGCTACAGTACACCAGGGTCCATCAGAGTCCACCACAGTCCACCAGGGTCCATTAAGAGCCTGCTATAGTCCACAAGGGTCCATTACAGTCCACCAGGGTGCATTAGAGTACACCACAGTCAACCAGGGTCCAGATGTAGTTTGAAATCTTATTTAAAGAGTTAAACTTCTAGGACAACAAACTAATTTACATGGTTTTCAAAATTAAGGGGGCGGGGCTCCTGCCTCAGTTTAACTTAATTTAACCTTTTAACTCGCCATTCCTCAGTTTAACTCGCCGTTCCTCAGTTTAACTCGCCATTCCTCAGTTTAACTCGCCGTTCCTCAGTTTAACTCGCCGTTCCTCAGTTTAACTCGCCGTTCCTCAGTTTAACTCGCCGTTCCTCAGTTTAACTCGGCGTTACTCAATGTTACTCACTTTAACCCAGTTTAACTTAATTTAATCTTTTTTTAACTTAGTTTAACCATTTTAACTAAGTTAAACCCAGTTTAATCCGTTTAACACAGTTTGACCAGACTGGACCAGGATAGAGAAATCTTAACTGTCTGATGTCCATTTAATGTCCTTAACGACCAGAATGAACTAAACTTGGAGAAAAATAATCAATCTACTACCAGTCTGAACCAGTCTGAACCACACCAGAATAAATATTAGAGGATTTAGAACCAGTAAGAACAAGTTGAAACCAGTCTGAACCGGTCTGAACTACTTTAAAATAAAATGAATGAAACATGGTTAAAATGTGAACTGTCCCCTTAATGCCTTCAACAACCAGACTGAACTAAACCAGAATGAGTCAGAACCATTAAGGACCAGTTCCTCTGTAGTCAACTTCTTATTAAAGTGCTTCCTGTTAAAACTAAAATAAAACATTCACGTCATTTACCAGCAACCACCTGGGCTCCCTTTGTGTGGCCATCTTGTTTCAGAAACGTCCTATAACCTTAAATGTTACAGGAAGTGATGGCATCAAAATGACATCATGGGTCAGATGAGCTCCCATTCATCGTCGACATCATCCCAACTGAGGGAGGAGCCTGAGGGGGCGGGCCAACAGGGGGTTTGTGGGAGGAGCTTCATCAGGCGACGGGACAATCCACCAATCAGAGTCACCGCCCACAACTCATCCTCTGGAGTCACTGAAGAGAGAAGAAACAGACACACCTGAGATTCAGTCCTGCTTATGAAAATAAGGATCCACACACACACACACACACACACACACACACACACACACACACACAC